GCTGACCAGGCAATATATTTATCTGCATCTTTATATTTCAAATTATAAAATCTATGAAAATAGGAATAATTTAGACATTATTCTATTCAGATAATATCAATTCAGATATCCCATTTAGTGGGATATATTTAATTCTCTGCTCCAATATAACAACAACAATCTTCTTCAGGAAGGAATATATATTCCCTTCTTACATGTTAGTGCAGACATATTGCTAACAATTCTGGAGGGTAAATATGAAATAGTATTATCTTTGATTATCTTCCTTGCATAATCTACTTTTACAAATGATCACTAAACATCTGATAATATTACATTCCATATGACAATCTGGAGGCAGCTAACATAAAAATTGGAATTGATTGTGGTTTTCTCAGACGTGTAAAAAATGTTTAATGTGACCCAATGGATTTTTTGAAACAATTTTTTGTCTAAATATAGAATATGTTAATGTGTTCTACTTCTATTCATCTTCTATAATTGGAATTGTCTTCATTTGTCAATATATTGGAACCATGGACTTGGCTTGTTAAACAATGGTAGATTTTTTTAATTATAAACTGCCCAGAGTCGCCTTATAGGAGATGAGTGGCATAAAAATGTAATAAATAAATAGAAATAAAAATGGATTGAGTTGAACAAGCAGGTTATTTATCAATTAGGGATTACTGTATACTTCACTGATAGATACATTATAATGCATGACTGTAGAAATTTATGATGCAAAAAAACCTAATTAGAGTGCCATATTTCCTAAAAAGTGTAATGTTTCTCTGGGGATCTGTAAAAATTGGAGTTTTACTTGTTGCTTTTACAGCTCCTTGCTTCCTTGAGAACACCAAGCCCCATTACAAAACCAAGATTTCAAGGCCTTCTAAAAGATCAATAGGGCTGGAGCCAATCTCAATTTGAGGGAAATGATGCAGAGAAGGCTTTCTTCATAGGTCCCAGCAGGTAAAACTCCTTACTCTTCCTACTTCTCTTTCATAATCTATCAATGGCTTTGTCCTTTACAGCAGGTGTCCCAAACCCCTGGGCTAGGACCCATTACTAGGTGGGGGCCTATTCGGAACTAGGCCATGTGTGTGGCAGGCTAGTGTGTACATGTGAGCAGCAAGCCAACATGCATGTGAGTGCTGTGGACCACTATGCATTCATGAGTAGGGGGATGGCATAAAGTGGCATGTGTGAGTTGAGTTGTATACACTCTGGCTTTGTACTTGCATGTGGGTTCCAGGCCACCAATCACACAGCCCAGTTCCCCTCTCTGCACCCACAGCTGGACTGCCAAGCAGCAAAGGTGGGGATTGCTGCTGTATAGACAACTGTATGTATGTATGTATGTATGTATGTATGTATGTATGTATGTATGTATGTATATGTGTGTGTGTGTGTGTACACTATATTGCCAAAAGTATTTGAAGGACTACCCATCGGGGAATTAAAGGAGCACTAGTCCAACACATCTGGAATTGTAGAAAGATGTCCTAGACATTGTGACAGTTCAATTAAAATATTTTTTTATCATGCATACTCTTTAATCTGTTAGTAGGAGCAGGATTAGGGATGCAGTGGTTCAGTGGCTAAGACGCTGAGCATGTCGATTAGAAAGTTGGTAATTTGGCGATTCGAATCCCTAGCACTGCATAATGGAGTGAGCTCCCATTACTTGTCCCAGCTTCTGTCAACCCAGCAGTTTGGAAGCATGTAAAAATGCAAGTAGAAAAATAGGCACCACTTTGGTGGGAAGGAAACAGCATTCTGTGACCCTTCAACGTTTAATCATGCCGGCCACATGACTACGGAGATGTCTTTGGACAGCGCTGGCTCTTTGGCTTTGAAATGGAGATGACCCTTAGAGTCAGGAACCACTAGCACATATATGCGAGGGGAACCTTTACCTTCACCTTTAGGAGTAGGATTACAATTTAACTCACGTAACACAGTGCAATTAGCTTTCTTAATTTGGACTCCACATTTGGGAATGGCCACCACATGTCTGATTACAAATTAGTTGATCCAATAATCAGATAATATGTTTGTCTTCATTGAAGTGTCATGCCCAAACCCATGAATGATACATGGTGCTTCTTCCAGACAGAGTTCTTTATTGTTTTCATGCCTTTAGATAAAATGTTGCCAGATGAAGGAATCTACTATTTACATATACAATATATTCTGTGAACTGTTAGGGATGGGCTGCCTTCACCCTCTTTCTCTCACATGTAATATCTGTATTATCCACATAACAATTGAATTATCCAGATGGAGTTTCCTCTTACTCCTCCGTCCTGGAATGCACCCGTTCCTTCCTGGAATTTCAGCTCTTTACTTTATTCCATTACAAGAAAGTCATTAAAAGTCTGCAAAAAAACAACAACAACTCCACAATTATCATATCTTCCATCCAAAGTTAGAACACGTATTGTATATATCAGAGGTAAAACCAAGGAATATGTAGTAAGGGAACATGACTGTATATAAAGAGGGAAGGAGAGAGAGCTTTGCTTAATTGTTTTCTATGTTCATTTGAAAAATAACTAGGCAAGCTTGAAGAAGAAATCTCAGTTTCCTTCTCTTTCATTACATATTTCCTGAGCTTTTTTCATCCTGAACATTGAAAGTATTTAAATATGTGCTAATCTAATAATATCGGAATGTGGGCTGCCACAGCATTTATTACTCACATTGAGAAATTATGATTCTATATGTACCACTAAATTTGGGAAAAGTAATATGCAGTTTTTGGAATCAAACTCTGCATAGGAAACTCTTTTTTTCACTATCTACATTAGACATAACCTTACAATTTTAGCTTGAGACCCTATTAATGTAACTTCTTAGTTAGGTTTTTTGAAATTTAACAGCTTAAAAAGTCTCAATTGTTAATGGTGCTTTAATCACAATCCTGGAATTCCAAAATTTCTCTTTCCTATCAGATAAAAAGCAGATTACACCAGTATTATTTACATTCATTCACATTGTGACAAAAAAATTATACAACAAATGTTTTCTAAACTATTGTCTTTTAAATAATAAAAAAAGCTTTTAAACTCCCCCCCCCCATGGTTTATGCTTTTAAAGTTTAGATTTAAAAAAATAGGGTGGTTTTTTAAATTTCATATTAATTTTCTTGCATTTAATTTATGTAATCACTTGACTAGAATTTTAACAAAAAATCAAATGTGAATTTTAGAAAGGTGAAAGTATGATTATGGAAGAGAATATCACAATCACAGAGCAATAATCATAATGGCAAAGCTTTAACTGATGTCCAGACAATTCTATTCACAATAACAAAAGACAATAATAACACCTAATGCTTCTTTCTAATAGCCTTTTTGTCCCAGTATTTATTATAATGACATATTGTACTTAATTTCTTGCCTTTTTCTTTAACCAACTCCTCACCCACCCCAAAAAACAACAAGTTTATAAAGACAACTTTCCCTTGAAAGAAATATGTTTCTTCCTATCAGTGCTGGTTTCAGAAAAAAGAATTAAGTTTAAAATCTAAATTATTTATTAATAATCCACCATACCTTTAAAAATGTCACAGAAATTATTTTGAGGATGTAAAGTTCTGATAACTCCCATTATGTGCCCCAGTCCTGGACTGTGCAGTACACATTAAGGAAGACAGAAGCCTTAACATTAAAGTTACAGAAGACCCCCACACAGAGATCAATATTTACATTTTGATTCTCACCACCCACTGGAGCACAAAATAGGAGTTATCAGAATCTATACCACTGAGCTGAAGGCCTGCCTCCCAGCAAAGATGGGAAAGAAAAAGAACTTAAACGCATCAAGAAAGCCCTCAGAATGTGTGGCTTTCCCAAGTGGGCCTTCATCAAATCCCCAAAAAGGACATCAGGAGCTCCTCCAAAGTAGACAAAGAAGAGAACAATAAATGAAGGAGGGTTCAAATAGGCCATCTATGTTAAAATTAAACAGCCTTCTCTTAACAGAGAGGAGGGATATGACATCATCTATATCCAGTCTACAACACAGTCCTTTCAGCAGTTCCAAGAAAGCTCCACACTCATTTGCACTACTCAGGTGACTCTAAGGACACAGGTAACCTGGTCTCAACTATTCTCTGAAAGAATGCAAATGACCAGCTGCCTGCAAGGAATATAAATCCTTCCATTCCCCATCTTCCAGTCAGAGCTGAAGAAGGTTCTTGGATGAGAAGCGAAACATCTTCAAAGAAAAACAAGAAAGTCCAGTTGCTTCTTGAAAAAGCACCTTTGGGACAGCCATAACCTGGATGACTGAGAATCTCCATAGAGAAGCTGTCATTATCCAGATGGGGCAGGACCGAAAGTGTCCAAGGTTAGTTGATTGTTATCACTGTGACTGTAACTTTGAGGTGTTTTAAAAGCAATAAAAACCAGATACTCCATTGGTGCCTATGTATTGCACCAACATGCAGAATATTTCATTAGGTACAGTAATTAGGCTTCACCCCAAATCCAGTTATGACAGTCATAGCACATCATGCATCTATTCAATAAACAAACAAACAAACAAACAAACAAACCTTGAGAAGAACCAATGTAGAATATCTATTTTATACATTTGTAATTTTGCCATTATAGGGTAATTTGGTGACTAGTAAGACCTTTTCACTAAACATGCATGAGAAATATGCCAAACATGTATACATAATTTAAACTAGTAACTAAATGTTGGCATAGTAAAATAGTGTTTTATTTTCAGGAATAAGCTTGATTTCCATTTCTTTCTGTGAGATCATTATTATTTAGACATCAGTTAAATTAACAGAAGCATTTCCTTGGCATTATTTACAGCCTGGATTTGAGTTAAGAATTATGAAACATGTAGCATCATTACTACCTTAAGTATTTGGCCAGAATACCACCATGTGCAATGGGACATGCTTTAATGTACTCCAGTCTAAGAGGTATCTGTGGTTGTTGTTTTGCATTTATCTGTGCCTCAGCTGAGCTGTTCAATCCCTTGTCATTACATACCCATTCAAATTGCAGCAGACTGAAATTGTAGCAATGACTGGTTCACAGAGCCCACAGCAGTGCATGGTAACATATTTTCAAAGCAGTTCAAAGAGTCCAGTTTCCATCTGTGTTTGGTGAAGGGTGCAAAGAGAAAAGAGAAAAAAAAGAAAAAAACCTTGAGGCCATCTGAAAACTCAGCTTCATCTCTAACACTTGGAATAACAAAGGTGTTATTTTTTCAAAGCTCCATTATCCCCTCCCGGGGTGGTTCTGCAGATATAGTTCAGGAAAGGTGGGAAACTTCAGAGCTGATATTCCCCTTCTCGACTTTTCCTTCTCTGGGGAGTTCTTTTGAGGATGGCACAATGGTGACATATATAACATGGGTTATTGCCAGCGGAGGCCAATTGCTAATGAACCCTATAGACAAATTCTTTCTTCTGGTTTCTGCAGGAAAAAAAATGATCTGCAGAGAAAGAGCATCTTGAGAGGAATTCCCTCCTCTCTGTTATTTTGATCCAAAGAAAGTAGAGGGTGCTGTGCATCCACATTACCATACAAAATGAAAACACAGCCGTTCTGTCTTTTGACATAGCAATGCAAGGATCTCAAAATGTACTCTGCCAGGCTAGTTTCTTTGTGTGATCAAAGGGCTTCCTTTAATTCTAGCCTCTAAAATATTAACCAATCCAACAAATAGTAAGAGCAACTGTGGGTAAACTACATCCAAATCAAAACTGAGTGAAAGTAACATTTCAAGAAAACCTTTTCTATAGAAGCTAAAATTAACTTTCAGAATATTTAGGCCTGGAAAGAAATTGTGATATATATATAAACTGACTAAGTGCAATATATATGTTGCACAATTGCACAATCTTGGTGGGGATCTGTGGAGTGCTGGTTTTGTTTCAGTAAGTGGAATGATTGGTTGTGTGATTGTATCATGATTGGTAGATTGGTGCTGATTGCTGCTGGCTGTGTGTCTATTGTTGTTTCATGTTGTAATGGTCTGAGTGGTGGGTGGGGCTCGTTTGTTGACTAGGGCTGGTTTCTAGATGCCTGGTAGGCAAGAGGTATAATCACGTTTATTCATGTTTGGGGGTGTTTCTCTATTTCGATAGCTTCCATAATTATTCTCTTGTTGAAGTGTTCTGTTTTGGAGATTAACCTGGTTCTTTCAAAATTAATTTCATGTCCTGTAGCTTTAAGGTGCTGGAAAAGGCAGATTTTTTCTTTTTTTTTCTTACTGCATTCTTGTGTTCTGCAATGCGTGCATTTATTCTCCTGTTCATTTGTCCCATGCATGTTACAGGGCAGATTTTGCATAGTATTTCATAGACTCCTTGGTTTTCTAGCTGGATTTTGTCTTTGGGGTTTCTTAAGATGTTGGCTATTCTTTGGTCAGTGTTGAAGGCTGTCTTGATATTGTGTTTGTGGAGAATTTTGCTGATTTTATCTGTGGTGCCTTTTATGTAAGGGAGGAAGGTGATGCCGTTGTCCTGTTCTTTGTCTTGGGGGAAGTCTCCCTTTGGATTAGGTTGGTATTTGTTTTTCTTTGGGATCCGTTGGAGATTAATACGTTTGTGAGAGTGTGTAATTCAGTTTTCAGGTGGTCTTTGTTGGCTAGGCATTTGGTTCCGGAGATGAGGGTCTTGGCTACAGAGTTGATCTCTGCAGGTTGGTGATGGGATTGTGCATTTAAGTAGCGGTTGGTGTGTGCTTTTTTCTGGTAGATGGTGTGTCCTAGGGAGCCATTGGTTTTTTTGTAGATTAGGATGTCCAGAAAGGGAAGTTGGTTGTTTGCTTCTATTTCCATTGTGAATTGTATTTTGGGGTGTAGGTTGTTGAGATGTGTGAGGAAGTTGTCCCATTTTTCTTTCCCATGAGGCCAAATAATGAAAGTGTCATTAACATATCTAAGCCAGAGTTTTTGTTTGTGTTCAGATAGCCAACATCTTAAGAAACCTCAAAGACAAAATCCAGCTAGAAAACCAAGGAGTCTACGAAATACCATGCAAAATCTGCCCTGCAACATACATAGGACAAACGAACAGGAGAATAAATGCACGCATCGCAGAACACAAGAACACAGTAAGAAAAAAAGAAAAAAACTTCCTCCCTTTTCCAGCACCTTAAAGCTACAGGACATGAAATTAATTTTGAAAGAACCAGGTTAATCTCCCAAACTGAACACTTCAACAAGAGAATAATTATGGAAGCTATCGAAATAGAGAAACACCCCCACAACATGAATAAACGTGACAATACCTCCAGCCTACCAGACATCTGGAAACCAGCCCTAGTCAACAAATGAGCCCCACCCACCACCCAGGCCGTTACAACACGAAACAACAATAAACACACAGACAGCACCAATCAACACCAATCTACCAATCATGATTCAATCACACAGCCAATCAATCCACTTACTGAAACAAAGCCAGCACTCCACACACCCCCACCACTACTTATAGAAAGACGGTAGCTCTGATTATACTTTAAGCCCAAAACCCAGCCTGAAGATGGCGAGTGAGACCTTGCTGAAATATATATCACAAAGTAGTGCTAAAACATTTCATTCTAAAAACTGTAATCTAAAACCTATCAGTAATCAATCATATTAGTTCACATTAATCTCATGAGCAATGAAGCAGGCAAAAAATTGTTAAATTTTGACATCTTTTTATGGATCCGGGAATATGGAAAACATTACATTTTCCTAAAAAAGCAAGGCAGAAGGTTACTGACAAGAATAGTTAAAAAGAGAAACCAAGAAATAAGTTTGTTACTTGTCTTTCTCATATATTCCCTCCAGTAATAGTATTCTCTTATCTTCACTACTGGTTCAGTAGTGGGAGCACACACGCATCTGGGCATGCGCAGAAGGTCCTTGATGATATCGGGTACCTGAACCGGTGCGAAATGGCAGGACCTCTGATCCTGTCCACCAAAGAAAAAAGTTTATATATCACCATATTATGATTGGCACAGGGGTGGGTTCTGCCAGGTACTACTGCCAGTTCACTCATGTGTGCGCCACATGCACGCGTGCTCTTGATGCGATTAAAAATTTTCCGTAAATGCATAGAACCAAAAAAACCCGCCCAAGATGGAGAAACAAGATGTGAGAACCAATTTGGGGGTGTGGCAGGCCTGGGTTGCTGCCAGTTCCAGTGACGCAGGCTGCGAAATCACTACTGGTTCTCCCATCTTGTTCCTCCAAACCACTACCGGTTCAGCCAAACCGGTCCGAACCGGTAGAAACCCACCACTGGATTAGCGGCAGCTTCTCCAAAATTAAGGTCTGTTACTGACATTTTTCTTTGTAGAGACCTACTGGTCATTTTACTAAAATGTCACTTTTCTTCCAGAACGAAATTCAAGATGTTTAATCTGAAGGTTTTACTCAAGAAAATGGTAAGTTACCACAATCACTTTGTGCTAGTATCCGGATTTTATATTTATATAAGAAGAAGATTGTCTGTTAACCAAACACATGAAAAAATGGAAAGGGGTGGAAATCTTTTCAAACCTCACTACCATATCAAATAATCAAGACTTTCTTTAATTTCTAGGAAATATGGTAAACATGTTATGCAATGTTTGAAACTCTTCAAATTCTAATGTCATTTTGTCCACAAAGAATTTAAGATGAAAGAGCATTATAGAAAATAATAAAAAAAATAGAGAGGTATTTCCTCTCTACTGTATTTCCAGTAAAGTGAGATTCCAACTTAAGTCTTAACAGTCAAATGTTCTGGCTGTTATCAGGGTAATTTTAATTTATCTCCCATTAGGTTTCAAATTAAATCAAGGAATATATTTCTTTCCAACTACTCATAAAGTAGAAGCTTTCTACCAGCAAGTCTTGAATTGGCAGCAGTCCTTAAATACTGCAAAACCACAATGTATGAGATGGAACCATAAATCATAAATATTCTGGGCTGTGAAAAATCTGTAGGGACTTTCAAGCTACTAAAGGTAACTGTTATATAAAGAGAGACACAGTAAAAATCTGTGAAAATTTTCCACAATATAGAGCAAGGTTCAAAGTGCTAATGTCATTGAATTCACTTTATAAATTGATTACATCACATAATATGCCAATCAGTAAGTAACTTGAACGCCCGAATGAGATTATAATTCCATTGGGCTTGCCTTTAGAGTATTGACGAAGACCAATGGCTGCTTAGTAACAACTGTGATGTAAAATATTTAATGTCTTTCAGTGCTACTTGCTGGTGAGTGTCTATTTCAAAGCCACAATTGCTGGCTACTTTTCAGACTTCACCTATCTGACTTCAAACACTAGGTGCATTATCTAATCAATGGTTAAATAAGATGTCAAGAGCAATCTAAATAATGTAGCAGCAAGTCAATACAACAGTCAAAAGTGATATAAACAGCCAAGATTTATACTTTACAAACAAAAGAGAATATGAACTGGCTCCTGTATTTATTATTACAGAAATTAGTATCCTAGAAGTTACTGATATTTGTATACTTTTCTAACACTAATAACTGCACATGGCATTTTGAATTACAAGGGAGTTATTTTGTATTGAAATAATCCTTCTAAAATGTATACCTGAAATTTCAATAAATCAATCTGAGAAAATAATTTCATTTTTTGCAAACATATTTAGAGCAGTACTTAATGTAATATAAAACTTTAGCATCTGTCAGCCTCCGTTTTGCTTGTTACGCTTGCTTGCTATCGGCTGCCATAAGAACGGTGGTGGTGCATAGTATTAGGGAAGGGAAATATATTGTACTGGAGAAGTCTTGTTCTCACCATCTTCTGCGCATGATGGTGACTGATGTTTGGACTTGGTCAAGGCCAACCGTTCCACATACCAACTTAATGAGGCTGTTTGAAGATGTACCCCGCATGACACCTTAGGGAGTTGCAGATTGGACAATATGTTGTGGAACTGGGGGGGAGGGTGCTGGGTAAATGTTTGATATGTATATGTTCCCACCTTTCTGGCTCAGATCTTGCTTTCCTTTAGCTGTTTTCACTTCATATCTAGTAAAAGTACTTTATCTCTATTAAAATGGAGTTGCGGTTTTCCTTTCTTGGAT